AAGTGTCATTTGGCAAATCTCCTCTCTGCTGCTGCCAAACATACTGATTTAAGCTTATGAAATGGACTTTAACAACAGAAAATGTTGTCCAGGCTTCTTGACACGATGCCCAGTAACTTGTGTCAGCTCAATGACATAAACATCAGTCAGCGCTACATCCCTAATATAACACAAGGGTTTCCTCAATTTATGTAAGCCAACCCCTCCCTAGAATAAGCTCAGCAACCTTTTGCATTCTTTCTGTTTCTATCAGGTCACTCTGATTTTTGTTTCCTTTCTTTCTCTTGAGCAGTTCCAGCATGGCTGACTGATTTGTTTCAACTTCATTTCAAAGGAAAGTCAAGAGGGCAATTTCGTGCTTCAATAGTTCTTGTTGTGTCTGAAGAGCTTTTCACAGGGACAGGAAGTTCACTGAGTGCCAGCCTCAGCCCTTCTGTCACCCATCCTGCCCCACTTACCCACCTCCCACTTCTCACCCTTCCCAGCTCTGGAGCAATGCTAATACATGCTGACAAGACGCTCTGCGGAGAAACACAGCTTTGGTTTCACAGCTGCCAAGAGAATGTGTCATTCTTATGCTGATGATTAGACAACATGTATCAATATACTGATCATCATTATAATTACATATTACTGTCAGTAAAGGCTGGAGAGTTGGAGCTTCCCTTGATATGTGAGAGAACTTTCCTTATAAATGGATTCATTTTGTCCATTTTATTTTCTATTTCTACTACAGTGTGTCATTACTAACCATTGTTAAAGAAGATTGTAGGTTTTAGTGATGGTGGAGATACTTGTTGGTATCTTGATTTTAGAGACATCCACTCACTTGATCTCATGATCTTGATCTCTGCTGCCTGATGGATGACACATTTGATGCAGGGCCGTAACTGTTTCAGAGCCCCTGAGGAGAAGCTCTTGAGTCAAATAATTCATTCAAAGCATTTACAGTTTATCATATCTAATCAAGTTCCATTTGCTGAAGGTGCAGGCACGCCTGACTTTTAAAGGGAATGGAAGATGGCACTCTGATCGGTTTATCGTATGTTATGCCCGAAAGACTGCCATAATTAATTCAGTGACTAAGTACAGTCCATTTGAACCATGCGCCTGGCGCAGCAAAAAGGGGATGTGAACATTCCCTAAATGCGCTTTAGACCATGTGCTTTAGACCATGTGCTTTGGATTGTTAAAACAGAGCCCTATAATTGTTTGTGTGTAATTAAGCCCATTGTGTTTCACATACTTTTCCTATATGTGAACCCTATTCCACTGTATAATGAATAAGGTCAGTTGCTACAGGGCAGTTACAGTTTGTTTACATAATGTATGACTAGTTATTTGTTCTACAGTCTCGCATACAAGTCAGCTCGATTTGAGTGTTGTCGTGATTTGAAGTGTCATTGTGATAATAATGCTGAAAGGATTATAGATCTTACTCTTTCTTTTATGTCAACTTATGAGCAGTTCCATGAAAAATCTTGACACAAGTGTAATGTTCCTGAAAGTAGATGCAATCATCTTGCAATTATCTGCACAAACGACTGAATAAACCTAAATAAAATCAGTCAAATGGCAATGGATATCTGCACTCAAAACTACTGTTATCAGCCTTCTAAACTGGTACCAGTTAGGACCTAATAATGGGTAGATGGGAGGTTAATTGGACTCTTGTCATCACGTGCTAAAGAGCCTTGTCTGTGGCAAGCTAGAGGCAAAAAGAACAAAAGCCCTGGCAAAGTAAATTGTAGGGGAGCTGTTGCCATGGTTACACCATTGGTGCATTATCATTCTTGTCTCCAGGGTGTGAGTGTGGATGGGGTGGGGGGCTAAGGGGTAGAGAGACAGATTTTATGTTTTAATTACAGTACCACTAATAACAGTATCTTATTCTAGTGAGGAGTATTGCAAGCCCACTCACAAGAGGAGACTGGACACAAATGCACATACGCAAAAAAACACACACATACACACACCTGAATACAAAAAAGCAGACATACTGAATGGACTTTTGACTTGCCAGGATCGACACCAGTTACTTCTACAGAATCACATAACTTATTGACAAAACCTTTTTTAGAACCGTCTCTTCTGTATCATCATTGTGCGAGCACATCTGGACATTAAAATGACCTGACCTGCTTGCACTTTGCTTGAGGACCTCTGCTATGCACATCTGAACAGTGCTTCTGATGTAATGCTTCCACATCACACATCCACAGACCTCATCTCCACTTAATTTCTATCTTTACATTTTTAAAACTGACAAAAATCATTAATATGTATTCCATTCCCCATGTATCTTACTATCCACTGGGTGCAAACTGTCTTTGGGATTTGCATGTGTAGCAGATATACCTGGCAGAGCATCAGTCACAAGCCATTAAAGAAGTTCATTTTAAGGACACACAGTTATGGACCCTATATTGACACTCTGTTACTCTTCCCACCATCAAACTATCAAAATGATAGGAAACAGAGACAAAGGACCCTTCTCCCTAACAAACAGACCATGCTGTTAGCATGTCAGAGAGACACTCAACCAGACCATGGGTCAAAGAGACAGCTCCAGAGGATCAACGAATGGACACCATGAAACTGGAGAGCATAGGCACAATCTCCCATTGTAACAATAAGACTCTGCCTATTGATATTTGATTGTTTCTTATATAGGAAAAGAAGTTGTGAATCCTGGCCTCTCTCTCTATGTTCTCGCTTTCAAATATCTCTAAATGGAGCCTTACACATATGCACAACACACACTAATACATATGGGAACACACATATGCACACACATATGCACACAACACACACACAACACACACACACACACACACACACACACACACACACACACACACACACACCCAACACAACACAACACACACACACCACACACACACACACACACACACACACACACACACACACATGCATACAGGCGCGCGCACACACACCACACACACACACACACACCACACACACACACACACACCAACCTCCCTTCCTCTGTCCCTCTCTAGATAAGAGTCATAAACTACAACCCACATTCCAATCCTGGGTAGTGACCAGCAGAACTCTCTTCACAGACACAGATCTGAGGAAGAATATATAATGAAATATCTAGCTGTTCTGTAACTCCTGAGATGTCTCTATGTAATAGGTCAATCCCAAACTTCTATCCTATAGAATGTTTGAAATGTAACATGTAGACTTTAAGACAACGTCCTTCATGTGACAATACTGTCAACATCCTTCACACAAGGTAACGCACACTACATGACATCTAGAATGTCCATATTATTGTTATTACAGTCAAAGAACTGCTGTGTAATCCACATTTATAGACTATTAGTTTTAGGAAATGTTTATTATGTAGTTTGTTCAGTTAACCACTTGTATTATGATTAATTCCAGGTTTGAAGGATGTAATATGAAATCAACACTCGTATTACTCCTGCCTGTCATTATTACTGCCATTAGGTTTATAAGTTGTTTCATTTAATGTTTTATGGTCATGGTGGAAGACGGATGTGCGAGTTTATAGGTAAACTCTAAAATTAAACTATTCAAAAGTTCCGTGGAAAATTACTCTCTTCTCCAAGTTGAAACAAAGGAGAAGACGGGTGACACCTCTGAAACGTGCGCCAGCCCCCAGGGGATAAAATCGTGATCATTTCACAAATTGCTCTTAGCCACAAACTCTTAGCTCTTGGCAACAGCTCTTAGCTCCTAGCTTTTAGCCACGGCTCTTAGCCATTTTTGCACTTTATCGTTTTGTCCACATCCTTCATTCTTTCTTTGCCACATGCTTTTAGTAACATTTTCTTTGTCCACATGCGCAATCTACTAATTTTGTAAGCCAAGTCAAAACCATCTGAACCAAAAAACCAAAACCAAAAGTGCCTCAGAGTAATTTCACCTTTTCATTTTTGAAGATTTTTGACATTTTAGAGTCAACTGGTCAACGGCAGTCTCCTCTAAAGTTATCCAGCCAAAGTTAAGTGCATTATTTATTAATTTTATTTTGCATCAACCCATAAGACACGCCGAGAGATAACACATCTGCCCAGGAACGCCTGTAGAGAAGCCTACAAGAAATCAAGAGTGCCCCAGACAGAAAGTCTACTGGCAAACTCCACCAGAGCTGAATCGCTGAGACACCAGCAGAATTCGTCACAGTGATAACAGGACACGGCCTCCAGGAGAATCCACCTAGAGCCTACATCTCCAGGGTTACCACGGCAACCTCAGCCAAATGGGTTCCAGCCAAGGGTCTCCAGCTATAGTGCAGCCCACAGTAGACCGGTCTTAACCTTCTGCTCACGACTGGGTTGATGCCATAATATAACAATATTTAATCATCAAATCTCATTCATAGACGTAGTATCATTAGCTGTATAGCCATAGTGCATAGCCATAACATATTTTCTCCCACCATTTCATTATTATTTCATCTTTATGATTATTACACCTTGCATTTACTCTGTAGATAATAGTTTAGTTAATAAACTCCTTTATTTACACCCAGCTGTTGTCCTGTTGTATTCTTACAAATTCAATATAATACAATATGATATACAGTATATACAAGACAAAATGTTACAAGTCACATGTTGACACTGGACCTCAACCCAAGCTACTTATACCTGAAAAGAATGCCATGTACGTTGTTTAAGTACATTTTGGCATCACTGAAAACAACACCGAAAAACAAGAAGTCAAACGCAAACACTGTCGAAAAACAATGTCACCAATAATTTGTTCACTCGGATCACATTGTTGAAAACGAAGAGTGCCAAACTACTCTACTGTACTACTCCTAATCAAGGTAAAAGTTTGAAATAATTGAGAGATTGATTTTAAAGTCATATCACCCAGCCCTACCTGATGGTATATTGAGACAGCAACCATAAACTACAATGTAGCCCGTTGTTCCCTTCTAGACATTGTTGCATGACGTTCCCCAGTAAAACAGAAAAGTTATAAGGACGTCTTACCTGCAGTTATAGCGTGAGCCCCAGTAAGCTCCCCATTGAATCCATTCTCCCTGGCAGAGTAGGAGGCTGCGGCCATGTGGGCCCCGCCAGGCTGGCACGTCCTGTATGCTGAGGCCGAGTAGCCATTGGCTCCGTGGGTGCCAGCAGGCTCCTGCCCTCCTGATGGGTCCCACTGGGGGGTACCGTCTTCTGGCTGTCGACTGTCTGCCATGCTGGTGCTAGCTAGCAGCAGGGGAGAGTGGGCAAGGGATGGGGTCTCTCTTTCTGTCTGTAAAACAGAAAGAAATAGATGGAAGAGAGAAGTCAAGGAATGGTCAAAACTCAGCATGATAGCCAACTGTAATCTTAGCACTGTTTCATAGAGGAGAATGAACACTGTGCAGACCAGAGGAGGCTGTAGGGCACGCTGCATTAGTCACATTCACAAATCTGTTTTTGTCAGTCGTCATCCCCTCTCCAGTTCCACTGAGCTTCACTGTTGTGACAATGTGAAAGCGCACCTGTGCTTGTGTGAATTTGTGTGTAGGTGGTTGTGTGAAATACTGCCCTTAGATGTTGGCACGTAGGTGACAGCTACTGGATGAAACCCTATTGATTTGTGCGTGTGTGTGTGTGTGTGTGTGTGTGTGTGTGTGTGATGACTCACATAGCCAGTGGCCCAGGTGGAAATCACAAATGGAGGAAAATGAACAGAGCAGACCTTGGATTTATTTGACTCAGGGTTGTTGGGATACAATGTGGCCTCTGATCAATTTGGCAAGACCCAGTGTTAGACAAATAGTTTGAACCATTGTGGCTTTTACTGTCTAATTTTATCTGAAAAAAATGCAACACCCAAACAGATGGAATGGAGGAGGGGCAATGTAGGGCTTACATGTATATGAAATCCAATCCTGAGTATAGATCTGACTAATCAGAACAACGTAGAGAGGAGATCAAGCAGAAGCAAAAGGAGTAAAATATTGATCAGCCCCCTGAGGCAAAGAATGCAGCAAGAGTCAATGATCTCTTGGCCGATGTTGGGCAGAAGGTGGGAGAAGGAGATGAATGGGTGTGATGTAGCCTTAAGATCAATACACAAGGTTATGTATGTTAAGTCTTTAAGTCAGGCTCTGCTCCCATTCTGTGCATGATTGAGTTAGCTGGATAAGTCCGTTGGCCATTTTGATTATATGTTTTATTTAATATTTTATTTATTGTATGTTGTTCCACTCTCTTCCTAGATAATGACGCTGATGCTTTTTTTGAGGCAGTTTCAGTCTTCCAATAACAGCAGCACCAGTATTGGCCTTCAAAGACTCAAATGAATGTGGCCTTAGTGTGAAAGGGCAGAAAGAGAGATAAACAAAGGGTTGAGTAAGAAAAAGAAAATTGTGAGCCTACAGACAAGCACAACCTTGAGCCTCAACCTCTAGATATTTGCACAAGGGTCGTGGCTGGTGGTACTTGAAGCATTTGCCAAGCAGCCTGTGTAGTTGTGCATAAGGGGATGTGTGAAGGAGCAATTTGTCATTTAGCTCTGCAGCCCACAGAGACCCAGAGATTAAAGAGAAGTCTGCTGGAGAAACAGGAGTCAATAACTGCAGCCTGAGACCAAGGTAGTGCTACAGTGAGCACTGGTCACTGCATTCACAGCAAATTCAATAGTACTGCTCCCTGTCTGCACACTGAGAGAAAAGAACAGACTGGAATAGAATAAAATAGAAAAGTGTAGAATAGTGATTTTTAACCTGCAGTTGGCAGAGGGTCTGTGGAAATATGGAAAGAAAATTTATCCACATATTTAGTTGATTTGACAGGCTGATCTGTAGTATATTTATTGTCAAAATAACCAATTACCTACCAATAATGGCACAAAGCATGCCACCCATTAAGTCAGAGTAGAGAAATGGATAGCTGAAAGTAATGGATAAATGGTTGAAACATCTGGCTAATGCCATTAAGTAGTAGTAGTATGTATGCTAACCTGTCCAAATGGAATAAAATAGTGAAAACAGACAGTAAAGCAGTAAAAAGTAAAACAAACCAAGCCTAAACATCACCAATACCAGACAGTGTTTCAGTATTCAGCCAGCATTTGTGCATGACTATGTTTAAGTGATGCGTTTACCATGTTCACCTTAGTTTAGTGTGTTAGCATGTTACCATTTGTTAATCAGCACAATATGAAAAGTGCAGCTGAGGCTGATGGGAATGTCATTGGTTTTGCTGGTTCTTGGTCATAAACTACAGCACTGACCCAAGCCAAATTTCACAACAATCCATCCAACAGCAGTAGAAGAGATTTCACTCAAAACCACAAATTATGATGGCAATAGAGGAAAAGTCAGAGGGGATCAACAGAGACATTCATGAATTCATGCTCTGGTGAGCCTGAATGTCTGTACAAATATCTCAGGAATCGTGGTGGACAGACCAACTGAGCAACAGAATGACAGACCGACATTGCCCTCCCAGAGCCTGCAGCTAGCGTAACCAAACGCAAACACAGCCTAAACATTGACTATTCCAGGATTGACTATATTTTGTATTTAATAAAAAATTGTAACAACATTAACTTTAATATGATTAATAGTATTAAATAACATCCAGTTTAAAACACATTCAACAAAAACATTTGGAATATAACAGGTGGTGTTAATGACAGGGTACTTTAGATCAACTGACATGCTGTGTGGCCACAATAAAGGTTGAAAACCACAGGAATAGAAAACCATGAGGATAGAGCACAAAGAAGCAGGAAAGCATTAAACAGACAGAAAGAACAGAATAGTAATGCGTAGAATATGTGGTGGCTGTAAGCCCTTGCAGCCTAAATGGATCAAAGTAAGGAGTCAATTGAGCTTTGCATGACTCAGCTCTGAAGGGAAAATCATTGTGAATGAAGCCTCTACAGAGACTCCACATCACATAGTGCTGTGCAGCCTCCTCACTAAATGCTCTCTCTGTCTCTGTCCAAAAGCCATGGCAGTATATTTTAGATCGACCCTACGCTGTCACCCTCTCTTCTGCTGCTTATGTCCCTGCTCAAGCCTCCATTTAAGAGCACTCCTAAAATGAAAAGTCATAAAATGCAGACATGAACTTGCTGCCCTGGTGTTATGTCTCAGTGCTGTCTGTCTGATGATAAAGGTCACTTTGAGCTCCTTGGCTGATATCCAGACCCAACAAGATCATCCTGACTGGTGGCCAGGCTCAGGGTGTCAGTGCTGGTGCATGAAGTTGGAAGGAAGTGTTGGCTGGCTTCCTGGAGGCCTGTTGAGGCTGATGACAATGTTAAGTGTATGGTCTGCATGTTTGTAAGCAGGGGTGCGCTACATGTGTGAATGAAACAGCACCACCTGCTGGGTCGAAGCCTGAAAGAATAAAACAGGACTATTACAAACTAGTATAAAAACTTTGCATGCAGGGTCTTGAGATTAGGGAGGCATTAGGAAACTTTTATCATGTGAAACCGCGTCTATCTTCAGCATAAACCACAAACTGGGGCTGCAATGCAGTACAGTGTTTCATCCCTACTTATTAAGATGCCACTTATTAAGACTGCTCTATTTGTCAACACAAAACACTGCTGTACACTGTATAATGTGAAAACTCTGAATATGATGAGCTGTCAGTAGCAAGGAGAAAAGTGCAGAGGGTTGACAAGAGAGAAGAGGAAAGTAAAAAGAAAGAATCTTGTCAAGATGAAACAGTATATATGGTTCAGATAATATACTATCCTCCAGGCATTGTGTCTAGTGGGAGTGAAACTGTATGAGATGGTGATATGATAGAGTTAGACGTCAGGCATCTCAGTAGACAGCAGGTCTGTTGCACTTGGCAAAAAGCCAGTGGCACTTTGCCAGGGCGATGGTTGATTTCGACACTCTCTCTCTCCCTGTGCCAGCAAAGACTGGAATTGAATAGTGAGCAGACAAGCAGAGCTGGACACTGCTGCTACTCAACATTTATGATAGTGACTTGTACCTTGGAACATCAGGATTTAGCTTTTACTCCCAAATTAAAATATACAGCTCTATCCCTCTATATAGTAAGTATTTTTAAATGTTGTTTTCATTAGTAATTGATCGTAATGACAAGCTTGTTTACACTCACCAAGCACTTTATTAGGAACACCTGTGCACCTGCTTATTCATGCAATTATCCAGTCAATCATGTGGCAGCAGTGCAGTGCATAAAATCATGCAGATACGGGTCAGGAGCGTATTCACATCATCAATGACTGTGTCAAAATGTGAAAGAAAATGTGATCTCAGTGACCTCGGCCGTGGCATGACTGCTGGTGCCAGACAGGCTGGTTCGAGCATTTCTGAAACTGCTGATCTTCCAGGATTTTCACACACAACAGTCTCCAGAGTTTATTCAGAAAAAACAGAAACCATCCAGTGAGCAGCAGTTCTGAGAGAGAGGTCAGAGGAGAATGGCCAGACTGTTTTGAACTGACAGTAAGGCCATGGTAGCTCAGATAACCACTCCTTACAACTGCGGTGAGCAGAAAGGCTTCTCAGAATACACAACACGTCCAACCTTGAGATGGATGAGCTACAAAAGCAGAAGGATACATTAGGTTGTAGTGGACACAGGCTCACCAACACTAGAAAGTTGAAGACTGGAAAAATGTAGCCTGGTCTGATGAATCTGGATTTCTGCAAAGGCAGCAGACGGTAGGGTCAGAATATGGCATCAACAGCATGAATCCATGGGCCCAACCTCCCTTGTGTCAACAGTCCAGGCTGGGGGTTGGTGGTCTAAAGGTGGTGGGAGTGTTTTCTTGGCACACTTTGGGTCCCTCAATATCAATCAATCACAGTTTTAATGCCCCAGCCAATCTTGAGTAGTTACTGAGAATGTGGATCCGTTTACAGCAACCATCTTGTTATGGATACTTCCAGAAATAGTCATTTCAAACTGAACATGACAATGAGTTCAGTGAACTTCAGTGGCCTTACCAGACCTGAATCCTGTAGAACACCTTTGAGATACGGTACAGTGGGAGATTGGCAGCCTGAATGTGCAACTGACAACTTTTAGAATGAAAATGTACTGGTATTACATTATATTGTAATATTCAACACATTTTTTAATATGTTCAGAGGGTCTTATGTAAAATGATGATGGTAAAAACCACTTATCCAAAGCCCCGCACTTGGTTTTCCTGACTTGCTTTTAATGGCATGTTCTGAATTAACTGTGAACTTCAAATGTGAATTTTAAACATCTGAGATCCAAGGGAGGAGCGACAAGTACATAATTTCATGGTATCGA